ATTGTCTTCGATCATATTGCAAACAATGTTGGGTGAATAAACATGGACCAAAGCCACTGGCTGATCATCAGCCAGCAACTCGACGACAACAACCATTGCCACATATTTGAATTACAAAATGTATAGAAAACGAGATAATTCTTCTCTTTTTTATTTTTTTCTAGTATTTTCTTTTGTATACAGTGTCTTTCGTTTATTATTGAAATAGGGTATTTGGGATCTTTTTTTCTTTTTTATACGTTTGAAAAGTAATTGTTATGCATTGTGTATGTGAACTGTATTTCTATCAGGAAAACTGTCATCAATCGATGTCACTTATGTTTATTTGTACAAAAAATACTTGTTATTTGAACTAATTAGAACACATTTTATTACCGATTTTGTATATATTTGTAGAATGATAATTTTGTGAGTGAAGAAAAGTGTGTTTTATTTCACTTTCATATATGTTTTGAACTTCTCTATGTATTATTATTAGGATTTTTCTATTATTTTTCTTTGAAGAAAAAAATAGATTTGAGATTACTAGAATAAGTAAATGAATCATTGTCGATGAAGTTTTGATTTTTTTTTTCTATTTTCAATCATCTTAACCTTTCTATTATTTCAACGTTAAAAGAATAGCTTCACGAAAAATTCTGAAATTTTCAAGGCGAACAGATCTCGATAATTATAGAGCAAAAGTTGCAGATGCTTCCTTCACGTATGTGAAAAGGTTTCAAAGGGCAAAAAACATGTTCTTTTCAATAGTATTAGATTTTTAGAAGAAAAGCGAAGAGAATTTTTTCGTTTTGCTCAACCATTGATTTTGAGGGAAAAAAAAGAAAAAAAAACTTTCCTATATATATATAATACGGCTTTTTTCTCCAACAACAGGTACCGAAAATTGATAGAGAATACTTCAAAGCTATATTAGTGAAGAAAATCCAAACATAGAAAAAAGTTGGATGTTAGCATCCGCAAAGGAGATAAGACTTCTCTAATGTGGAAGACAATTTAAAAATAAAACAAACTTCATGTCAGAATTTCATTCATTTGTGTTAATGAACATTTAGTTATTTAAATAACGATATATTCAATCATATAGTCGATCTCGAATATTTTTCTTCACGATAGATATATTATATTCTCTAACGAACTATTCAAAACAATGTATAGATCAACGTTTTATCGTTTTCCGAGGATAATTTTGAACAACTTTTAGATTAAACGAATCACATCTGTTTCTCTTTTCTTTCAGTAAGATATGCATAGATCGATTCTGGTAGAAGAAGAAAAAAGACAGAAAATCGAAATTGTTCATTCGTGTTGCACGTGCTCTTTTGTTCAGAAGAAGAGGATAGGCGCGAATCTAATAATATCGATATATATATAACGTCGAAAACACTGCAATTGAGTATCATATATTCACATATGCCATGTCAAAGTAAAAAAATCTCAAAAGATTCAAATGCACCTAAAAGACCATTATCAGGATATTTCTTATTTGCACGCGATGAACGACTAAAAATTAAATTGACTCAACCAAATATTGCTACGACAAGTAAAAGAAAATATTGTATTTTGGTTTGTTTTTGATTAAACAGAAAATTGCAATATTTTATATTGTTATTTAATTCAGAAGTAATGAAAGTAATCGGTGAACGATGGTCAAATTTAGATGTTAATCTCAAAAAACAATATGTTAAGTTATCTGCAGGAGAAAAACTTCGATATGATCAAGAAATGGCTATTTATCGATGAATAACCAAGTAGCCATCATGGAATAGGAAATTTAGCTCAATCATAAATTAATGTATAATATATAGTCGTGGACAAAAGCAGCTGTTTTCGATGAAGTCTAACTATTTTTTATGATATTAAGCTGATATTTCAGATGTATGCGTGCGACAATAAGGCTTCATCACAAGCACCAGCCCGCTCTTAATTGGTTCATATAAACTGAAGCTATGATTCAGATAACTTCTTTCCGTTGTGAAGAACATATTTTTCTAATAAAAAAGTTTTTGTTTCCATCTTCAACAGACATTCTTAGTTAGAAGATATTATCTCATGTATTCTGTAAGTGATTTCTAACAAAATTTGAACTAAATATAGCTACGATATTCATCTTGCGAATGAAGGGTTGGATGAAAAAATTTGTGGTAACCTGTTTGAGATAAATCTTTGCGATCTGTTGCGCACATGCGTTCACAATATCATAAAAAATAGTAGCATTTCATGAGGAAACGGCTACTTTTGTTCAGAAGTTTATCAAATAGTCTTCTGATTTGCATACGTGTTTAAACTTATTTTCTTTTAAAGAAATGTTTAATCTTCCTATAGAAAAAATAATAATGATTAATGATTGTAGATTTTTATTCAATCTTTTACTTTTAATGGACGAAAATCTTCTAAAAATATCTACTTCTCCCGATTCAAGTACATTCTTCTGTTTTTGAAGAAGTTTCATTCTAATGAAAATTTTTTTTTGTCTAGATTTATCCGAGAACAGTGGTCATATGTGTAACTTTCCATCACTAGGTTCATCATTGACATCCGACAAAGCACATAATGTTATAAATGGATTAGAACATGAAGGTTTTTTTCAGGATGATTTTAATTTTTCACGATTTTCAAAAATGGCTCGTTGGTAAGTTTGAATATTTATCAATACGCTTACTTCTTCTACGGACTCTATGGCAATAAAAACTTCGGTGAGCTAAACGAAACAAAGCAACTTCGTCAGTTGTTTTCTTAGCTTCTTTCTCCATATTTACTTCTCATAAGAGGATACTAACGATAATTTTAATTAAACTTTGCAGTCTTTCGCATAAATTAATTGATGTATTTTATAGGCAATCAGAAACTGATAATCTAAACCATCACCCGATTTCTTGTAATCAAGAAATACCTTTGACCACGAATCACTTTTGGTAAGTATAATAAACAATTCATGGAAGCTTTTATAACTTTATCTATTTAGTGCAAAGAAAGATATTCCTTCAACATCACTTCTTGATGTGTTGATTTCACCCATGTCACGCTTATCAACATCATCTTCCCTTATGTCATTTAGCAGTCTTGGCAATAATAAAACATCAGAGCAATTATTAGTAAGTACTATTTTGTTCGTATCGAGATTCACAAAAATATTTGATTCTCAGTATCGATCAACCATAACTAATTCAACAGATCAATTAATCGTGCCAAATGAAAATGCTAATCTCTTTCCTCCGGCATCATCATTTCTATCATTACAAACACCACTATCAAATCGTCAAACACTTTCTTCGATCGACAATATTCCATTAACTACAACAGATAATGATCTTCAACGAGTACCACCTTCATTCATACTTATGAAATCACCTTCTGCCTTTAGTACTACTTTTATCATTCTCATTTCTATTCTAAATCATTTATTTTTTTAGCAAATAGTTCAATGATTCATTCTCAACCTCAACCGCAAATAGTTCATAGTACAACTCGATCAAATACTATGCCATCATGGCGTGGTTATTTACCAATGAAATTTGAACCAATTACATCAGATCAATATCAAATGACAACTCAATTTTCACAAAAAGTTTTTCTTGGTGGTATTCCATCTGAACTTACTGAAGGTTAATTATTGATTGGAAACTTTTTTTGTCTTGATTATTTACAGTGGCGAAACCAGAGAGAGGATTGGGGGGACCAATCCCCCCCTGGAAGATCTAAATCACTGGAGGGGGGTACAGATATATTCGTTTTCACAAGCAAAAAATCACTTTTTCTCTATGATGGTCCCCCCCCCGGAAAAAATTCCTGGTTGCGCCACTGATTATTTACTTTATTTCTTCTTTTTTAGCTGAACTATTACTTGTATTAAGAAAATTTGGTAAATGTAATATCAAATGGCCAAAAAATAATGGATTCAATCATAATATGCCTGGTTAGCAATTGTCTTTTCTTTTTCATTCATCCTATTTAATAGATGATCAGTATTTTATCCAGAGTGAGTTTGAAGGATGATCTCCCTTCGAAGATTGAGTGTGTTCTTCCATAGTTCGTGGTTAATGCACTATGTGTCTGTGTTCCCAAAAATAGATTTTCGCTCTTTCCCAGTTTTGAGTCGCTCCTCTAAAAGATACAATCTCGATAAAATAATATAAATGATTGTTTTTATTCAAGCTTTTTGTCATGTTGTTTATCGTGAATCACGTTCAGTTTCCGAACTTCTTAAACATTGTACTCGACAACAACGTTCAACTGTTGACTATTTTCTTCATATTCATATGTTACCAACAACAACTGGTTTGCCTATTCGTACAACTCGATTTAAACCAGTAAATCTTATTGTTTTAATTTTTACTTTTGTTTATCATCATAGTTATATTGAATCATTAGATTCAAGTTGTTCCTTGGAATGTAAAAGATAATGTATATGTTATGCAAAATGAGAACATATCAAATAATGAAACATCTTATAAAGATTGGTCACGAACAATATTTGTCTCACCACTTCATGGCAAAATGACTGCATTTAGTCTTAGTACAATCATGTCGAATGTATTTGGAGCTGTTTTAATAGCTCAAATCAATACAGATAAATATGGATATCCAACAGGTAAATATATCTATTATCATTATGTAATATAAAACAAAAATAGGAAGTTGATTATTAGGTACAGGAACAGTGTTATTTTGTGATTCTCATAGTTATATGCGTGCTGTAGCTGCTGGTACTGTTGATATTAAATGTGATTGTTTTCACAAATTAGTAAGTTAATTGAATTTTATTCTTCTGAATAGAGTATTGAATAAAAAACAATATTTAGCTTGATATTGATCCATTTTTACGAGAAAATGAACCATGTGCATTTTGTCCATTGATTGCGGATTTATTTTGTCGAAACTTTCATTGTCTTCGATCATATTGCAAACAATGTTGGGTGAATAAACATGGA